ATATCGATTTAAATATCGATTTAAATATCGATTTAAATATCGATTTAAATATCGATTTAAATATCGATTTAAATATCGATTTAAATATCGATTTAAATATCGATTTAAATATCGATTTAAATATCGATTTAAATATCGAATTAAATATTGAATTAGTATTAAGCGAAATATTAAACGGCGGAGCTCGCGTACGAGGGAGATCATCTTGGCGATGTAGTACGCGTCAACCCGGAAGAGCCCGCCCTGGTGCTCCCGGAGGATCACGGGAAGCTCCGACGGGAAGACGTTGAGGACCCCGTACATCGACGGGAAGGAGTTCTCCGTGACGAACGCGAAGATCGCGCCGCCGATGTCCTGGATACCCTTCTGGTTCACCTGGACGTCGGCGAACACCAGGCCCAGGAGGATCGCCAGCACCTGCGGGACGAGAAGACGGAGGGATTTTTCATTTGTTTAATTATATGCTTTTAAATGATAAATTATATGATAAATAAATTGTAAATATATATTATTGGAAATTTCTTTAAAATAAAAAGAAACGCAGCATCTTCTTGATAAAACTATTATTACTATATTCAATATTATTATTGCAACATTATTATTACAATATTATTATACTATACACACCAGTACTATATTTACTTATATGAAATGAAAAATGAAAAATGAGAAATGAGAAACGAACGATCTTCTGAACGGTCCTCATCTGATTGACGGCCGGGTTCCGGGCGGATTCGATCAAGGACCTCTTGAGTAGCGATCGGACCTGCACGCCCCATCTGGCCTTCCTGAGGATCGTGCAAAAAAAAATTGGCATGTGCAGAGAAAAAAAATTGGCAGGTGCAGAAAAAAAAATTGGCTGCGAATTTGGGCCTCACCTTCTGGGTTTTGTGATGGGATCGTCATCGTACTGGAAAATAAAATGCAATTAAAATTAATTTAATAAATTATTTAAACTTGATCAATTTGATATTAAATTAACAATTTAATAATTAAAATTATTGTTATGCAGTTAAATCATTTTATTTTATTAAGGGGGAGTGGACTGACGACGCCGGAGTCGAGAGAGTCGGACTGAGCCAGGTCGGAGCAGAAGGCGATCGTCGAGTCGATCTCCTTGCCGTGTCGGGACGCGAGGAAGGAGTCGCAGATGCGCTTCACGGAGGCGCGGGACCGGGACTCGTGGTGTCCCGGGAGCACGGCCAGCTTGTGGATGAAGAAGTCGGCCGGGTTGAAGGTGGAGGGGCAGCGGAAGCCGTTCCTGGGGGGGATGATTCATGGATGCTTCATGGATGCCGTGATGCTTCATGGATGTCGTGAGAATTTCATGAATTTCGTGGAAAAGGGGTCGTCGTGATCGAAAAAGGGCAGATTTGCCCTGTAACTAATTGCCCTGTGCTGCTGGTTCATAGAAATCAATTCCTCCTGGCATTTTCCCCGACGAAAAAAATTTTCTAGCGCTTTATATTCGGTGCAATTCACCGCATACATTTTTTTTTCTAAGTTAGATTGGGTTCATCGGCTACGAATGAGAAGCATTCGGCGTGATTCCTTCTCTCCACTCACTCGTTCTGGCCATTGCCGTGACGCCATGGAAATCTCGGGGTTAAAAATGACCCGTGGACAGCAAGTACGGATCATGCCTACGAAAGCCCGAATCGTCGCCACCCTGCCCCGTGAGCACACTCACAGGAAGTCCAAAGGACATCCACAGGAAGTCCCATGGACGCATCCAGCAAGAATCCAGGGGACGCGAAGAGGCATCTCAGCCCATTAAGCGATCCGTGTCAAGGTCGAGCGCTCACGTGTCACGAGATACTCACGTGTCACGAGATACTCACGTGTCACGAGATACTCACGTGTCACGAGATACTCACGTGTCACGAGATACTCACGTGTCACGAGATAGGCCCATCCCACTTAAAGATAAACATTTTCGAGTCCGGGATATTTCGGCGTCGGGACGTCCAACGAGGTGGATGTCCCTCGGCCTCCACCCAAGGGAATCCGAAAGGCAGCGGGGAGGCAGCTCGGCCTCGACGGCAGACGGCCTGCGCGATTTCTCCCGGATCGATCCGTGACCCCTATAATCCGTGACCCCTACGGATCGGAATCGGGTTGCTCGATGGCATCGGTGATCGGTTGCCTTCGGAGGTGTTTCGTCGCGGTGAGTTTTCACCAGGGCCGTACCGGTGGCAACATTGGCAACATTTGGCCGGTGGGCCGACGGCCGATTTTTTCCACGCGGCCGGTGCCGGTGGCAATTGCTGTCTGTGGAAGAAATCGCCTAGAAATTCAAATAGGCCAATTTGGAAGCCAATGTGACACTTATCTGTAGGCCTCCTCGAAACGATAGAGATGACTTCTGGTCCGTCTCTCGATGCTTCTGCCCGCGGCTAGCTTGCTCTCCGTTGCTGCAGTTGAGAGCATCTATTGAGGCATCCCTTGCAAAAGCATAACGTAAATGGAGATGCAACGATTTCCCGTTCTTCACCGCTACTTTCCTCCGCCGGTTCCTTTAATTCGGCTGTGACACAATCCCGATCGATACTTTTGCCTGGGAGAGGCTGGCAGAAGCGGCCGAAGCGAGACAGGTGGGACGGCGCCGAGGCAAATCAACACCCTCACCTTTTTCTTTTCGCTTTGCCCGTCCTTTCGGCACCGGCACCGTTATCATAGGCCGATGGCTGTTGGTGCCGATAGTGCAACCGGTGATGTCATCGGTGCAGCCCTAGTTTTCACCAATTCGATGGAAGGGGGGGGGGGGACTAAAATCGGCACACCCAAAGGGTTAATATTTTAG